TTCTTCTTCTTCTTCTTCTTCTTCTTCTTCTTCTTCTTCTTCTTCTTCTCTCAAACACATCAGACTTTGTGTAAGTGTTATTGATTGAATATGAAATACACAGTGATTAAGCACTAAGGTATGAATTTTGCGTTAAGTACATCTGAAATTTCATTCCCCCAAAAAAGAATTAAAGATGGTTCTTCTTAATGCTGAATTTTCTGATAATTCCATTATAGCAACTGGATCTTAATGACAACTTGTCATTGTTGTTTTAGAACTTCAGCTCTAAGAATGCTGAAGTTCAGCAAATATAAACAAAAACTTCAGCTCATAGAATGCTGAAGTTCAGCAAATACAAAACAAACTTCAGCCCTGAAATTCATCACAAACATAACAAAGCTTCAGCTAAAACATGCTGAAGTTCAGCAAATATAGAACAAAACTTCAGCTAAAACATGCTGAAGTTCAGCAAATAGAGGACAAAACTTCAGCTAGTAAACAAACAAAAACTTCAGCCAACACTTGGTTCAACAATTTTTGCTACTTCAGGCCCGTCTACTAGAATGCTAAAGTTTGCGTGATTGTCTTTGCTACTTCGGGCCCGTATGCCTGAAGTTACGCGAAAAGTGGGTACGCTTGCAATTTTTTTTGCAAAGCGGGTATAAGTTAAAATGTGACCCGAAAACGGGTATAGATGCAAATGCCCCTGCATTTTCGATGACGTGAATTTTGTCTATAAATATAAATGCACATATAAAATAAATATCAGAAAATTTTATGCATATGTATTTTTTTTAAAATATATTAGTTTGGCCACATTGGAAACTAAACAATGTATACAATAATACATGCATAAAATAAACATAATTGTTATGTATGTATATATTTTAAACATTATAATTTGATCACTTAACTGACTAACAAACTATATTGACATAAACATATATATAAAATAACCAATGAGTGGGTTTATCAACTTAATTTTCTAAACATTTTAAACAGTCCTAAGCAATTTACTTAATGACCTGAACCAAAATTGTAATGAGTTTAATTCTAAATGAATTAAATAACTCATGGCAAAATTAAGGGAGAATGACACAGTTACCCACAAAAATAAAACTATTTACCCTTGTTTACCCATTTATTTTTCTACACATAAATAATTACATTTCCTACCCATAGTAGTTTTTGTGAGAAATTTTTTCTTTATTCTCCAATTCTTTTTTATTTCTATGTTTC